GTTACCTCAAACTTTTGAACTGTAGTATACATTAAAAAGCACTATTGGTTATCAAAAAACAGTATTATTCAATGTACTCCAAAAAACACTATTTAATATCCAGCACTAACAAAATTTGCTGGAACAACCAAGAATTTTGTGATTTCTTGAAAACTTTATTGTCCTTTCACAAATCCACTAAAGAAAAAACATCAAAAACATACACAGAATATTTTTGTCATCTTTATATATATATATATATATATATATATATATATATATATATATATATATATATATATATATATATATATATATATATTCTATCTATATTAGTATACATATATATACATATATGCATGTATTAAGTTGCTGATATCTCCTGACAAATGATTACATTACTCCTATATATATATATATATATATATATATATATATATAATTATTTATTTAAAAATTATAATGTAAATATGTTATAAAATCACTACAAAAATAGCCATATTTTTTCAACACATCTGGTGTCTTATCAACTGATGGTGTTGAATGTAGAATAAAGGGTTTTAAAAGTTTCAAATCAATCAAACACCCCTCACTAGGGGAAACACTGTTACATAAGCTGGAATGACCAATCAAAATATAAGTATATATATAGCCTAAATAAGTTAATTTTTCCTTTAATTTTTATGATTTAGAATTAAAATATTTTGAAAATAAATAATGGCCCTTTGAAATTGGGTAAAGTCATTTTGATCAATTCAGTATTTTGCCTTTCATTTCTTTCCTACCAATCAATGACCTTCAAGTATAACTGTAAACCAAGCAGAGCATTATGGGAAACCTCGATAAAAATGACATTTTCTAAATGTCTTATTCTATTTCTCTCCCGTCTGCAGATTGACCAATTTTCTTTGAATTTCCTGAATGGAAGATGAGTGGAAATTTCTCACACTCCAGTTGAGATTAGTTTGTGCCCGACTGAAACTGCCAGTTTCCTCTCCACAATTTGTTAAGCTCAATTCATTTTCCTTTTATTTTCCATAGAGTCACCACTGAAAAAAGGATTGGGGTCAAAGGTAATATAAATGCGACTACCAAAATTCTAGAGGAGCTGTTCTCTGTATTTGGAATTAAAACTCCCCAAATAAAAGTGTATAAAATTCATATAATTTATTTGTTTCATATTGCATTTAGCTACACATATATATTGAAGGCATTTAAATCAAACACAGAGCTGTATTTGAGATTTTTATAATATGAATAGAAGCATAATAACCTTGGTAATTGACTTTTTTAGTTTTAGATAGAATTCATTGACTTTTTACAAAAACCAATATCATTTTTTAAGATGGATATAATGGATATTGATACAGAAAGTTGAATTGGAGAGCCAAATTCAAATTCTGTGCTAATCTGTTGTATTCACTTTCATACAAAGCCCTTTGTAAAGTCATGTAGGGATATAAAATGTGATTATCTCTCTTTGGTTGAAATGGAGTCACGTGACATCACTTCACAGAGTGACAAACGTGGACAGTCTATCAGTCAACTTGCAGGAGTCAAACTGAGCATTGGCTTTTTTAGACTTGCAGACTCAATGTGAGAAAAACTCCTGACTTGCTGTTTCCTGCTTGAGAGTAATATGTCCTCACTAGTGACATATAAAATAAATCCAGCCTGTTTGACTATCCACTGAGAATCTTAAATATAGCTTCTCTAGAAACACAGAAGAACCCTTTGGCAGATCAAATTCCAATTAAGAATTATTACAAGTAAGACTCTCCTTTTTATCACCTTTTTACACTGCTTGTTATTGCATATATATGTTATAGTTTCTCTCTGTTGGCAAATGGAAATATGGGTATATAATTTTGTGTATGACTTAGCAGTATAAAACTCACTCTGAGAACAAATATATTAATCATCCCTTTTCTTTCAGTTATTCTGTTCAGTCCAGGGAATATTATATCATAGATATAATAATACCCATAGTGGAGAAATACAACGGGAACAATATTAATTTTTTCTATAATTGACCTATTGTCTGGTGACTTAGCCAACGTGATATGATGCTATTAATCACAATTACACATGAATCTATTTTTCTTCCCTCATCTATGGACTAAATAGCAGGCTAGAATAAACTTTCTAACCTTGGGTAGTAACCAATTTAATGGAAGGAAAACACTAATTTCCAAAACATGGAGAAAGAAATGGGAAGCTAATCCATTGTCTTTGCTTTTTCTAAGAATGTATAGAAATTTCAAACAGTCTCTTACAAGTTTGGTTCTAGTGACTACTGGAAGCTCTGCAAGTGTGTACTGAACAAGAGCAAATTTTTAGTCTATCCTCTCTTCAATTGAAGGGAAGTATTGTTACTTACTGCAGATAAAGCTCTTTCAACTTCACTCACCACTCATCTGCATATAAATCTCCATGATTTCTGCTGTCATTTCTAAACTTGATCCCCACAAGATTTTTGGATTTGGTGGTATCCCTGCAATTGTCCTAAGAAATGTGTTCCTGAACTGGTTCTTGTTCTCTCCAAACTTTACAATAAATGCCTTGCTACTTTTTGTTTTCCAGCTTGTTGTAAGTTCTCCTCTGGGGAATCATCTGACCTTTCATACTGTTACCCTATTAGTCTTTTTTATCCCTTTTTGTCAAAGTATTAGAAGCTCTAATCAATACCAAATTGGTTAAGCATCTTACTTCACACAACCTCCTTGTAGCCTCCATTTCTTCAGGTCTACCATAAATGTGTTAACAACCATCACTGAATGTGTCTATCAAACTTTAGATAAAAATGGTAAAGCTATAGATATCTGTAGGCATGCATGCTGGCCACAAGCTCAAGGGTCATGATGAATCTTGATGAATATTTGGTCTAATTCAATCATTCATAACAAATCATGTAATGAAGGTCGAATGGACACACTTCTAGTTCATTTCATATTATTTCAGAGGCACCCACAGGATTTTATTGTTGGACCTACACTGTTTCTGATCTTCATCAACAACCTGCATGATGTCATCAGTTCCCAACTCAATATCTATACAGATGACACAACTATTTATTCCCATCTTAATAGCAAGTTCAACAGATCCAACCAAGTAAAACTGACAACTGCTATGGAAAAGGCCTTCCAGTCAGTGGTTAACTGGGATAAGGAATGGCTTGTAAAGTTTAATGCCTCTAAAACAAAACTGCTTTCATTTAATCGCCACAGAGGATCTTTTCTGCACCTTCTTGGACTCATGTTTTTCTCTGACATAATGTGGAGGAATTATATTGAACCAATTGCTGCATCTACTGCTAGAAAAGTTGGTTCACTGTGTCATACCAGACAATTCTTCTCATCAGAATGCATCTAGCACATTTATAAATCTACCATTTGTCAATGCATTGACTACTGTTGTATGATATGCTGACTATTTCATCTCAAAATTCATGACAAAGAAGGATTGTTAATGTAATTTAAATCTTGACTAAACCTAATCATAATGTCACATGGCTCCCCTTTGTCTTTTCTAGAAACATTTTTATGGCAATTGTACTGATGAGTTGTTCTCCTTAGTGCCTGAATTACATGAATTTAAGCGTGCTACTAGATTGGTAACTAAGTCTCACCATTTTACTGTTGAACTAGCTAGATGTAACAGTCTATTCTAATAGTGTCTTTTCTCACACTTCTCACCTGTGGAGATCCTTTCCAATTTCTTACTTCCCTGCCACCTGTAATCTTCAAAAATTTAAATACAATGTCAATCACCATCATGTCTTCCTGAACCCTGTTCTTTTAGTGTCTTTTTCCTCACTTCTCCTTTTAAATTCTTTTCATTCTCTTTCACCCCCTCTAACCCCTTGCATTCTAGTGGAATTATTGTCTTGCTTGGGATGAAATGAAGATATTTTTAAAACTTCTCAAATAATAAAGAAAAAGAATATGTGAAAAGTTATGATTCCATATTCTAATATCCTCTCTCAAATGTATCAAGGTAAAACATAAAAGAGAAATGTAGAAAAATAAAACATGGAAATATATGATTGCCGTTCTAAAGAAACAAGTTTAGATGACAAATGACCAATCATCTATAAGGAAGTTGATCATCCAAAAGGGTAGGTGATTAGGCATTTACATTGATAAGAGTTTATATTAATTATATCATTATAGTAAACTAAGAGGTTATTTAAGAAAAATTTTTTAATTTTCAGTTTCCAAACAAGCATTTCTTTTATTTCTCTCTTTATTTTAAAGGTTCTTTTTTGCTGTGTGAGAAGCAACTTTCAAATATAAGGAAAAGAAGAAGCATTGATTTATTGGTTCAAAATATCCATTTTTGGATCCAATCCAGATCAAAAAAAATCTATCAAGTTGATCGGATTGAGTTCCTTGTTGGTACAAGCATAGATTAAGACAGAGTAACAGAAATTGGATCATGCAGACAATTGCAGAAAGAAAAAAAAACAAACAAGCAAAATCTGAAGACTAATTCAAAATAAAAGGGAAGGAAAAGGTTTCAAAAGAAAAAGTAGCAAAAATAATTAATATGAAAGAAAAATAGAAAGAATGATTGTGAAAAAGAAAGTAGAAAAGGAGTGAATAAATAATGAATGAAGGAAATAATGTTAAAGAAGAAATGAAAGAAAATGAGCCACTGTGATTGAATGAAAGAAAGAATGAATGAAGAACAAGAAAAAGTGATGTTTTAGCCATACTACAAAGATAGTCACTAATAGATGATTGATTGACTGATTTGTTTTTTATGGTTTGTCAGCACTTTGTGGGTTATTTAAAGCCAGAAAATATTCTTAGATTGTAAGAATTTTTTTGAGATAATAAAGATTTACTGATACAAGTCCTACTAATGAACCCATAGCTGGGGAGAGAAGAGGTGGATTAATACTTTTCCCAAGGGTACTTGGGCATAAATGAATATGATAAAGCTGGCTGGAATTGAAACTTGGCTCTCAGATTTCCAATTCTGAGCTGTTATTCATTATACCACAAGGCACATCCAAGCTTACAGCACCTGATATTTCTAAGTGGTCACCCATCTAGGTACTGACAAGGCTCTATGTTGCTTAGTAGCTTCAGTGATCATATGGGAACTAATGCTTCAACGATATGGCCATAAGCTTCAATAGATGATTGATATATATATATATATATATATATATATATATATATATATATATATATATATATATATGTAGATATATAGCTAGTCATATCATATAGGCATATATATATAATTGTGTATTTCGGCAGAAAACCTTCATTTATACACATTTCATTAAATGACAAATTACTGTGATTAATATAAACACATTTACACATAGATATAATAATGTATCTCACATACACCAATACATATTTTTTCTATCTGAATTTCTGGGAAGAGGAGTTATCATTACTTACATTATTTACATTTAGACTAATGTCCTTATCCTTTGTTTTTATTATCACAATGTTTCAGCTGTTGATCCAGCTTAACTTCAGAAAACTTTAAACTGAAGACTTTATTTAATCTATGGGTGTAGATTGTTCTTGCCGCTTATTTAATGCTTTCCAGATAGTTTAACATTGTACTACCTAGCTCATAGATTGAACTCGCAGTTACTATGTTACCAAATTCGCCAACCACTGCTTTAATCTACTTATAAAAAAAAAAGACTTAGATTTAAAGAGTAATGTTTATCAAATATATATACAAGTTGATATCAGATCAGTATCAGCTGGGTTACTGTGGAGAAGGGGTATGATGTTGATAGACACAAAATCCCTAATGACCGTTGGCTAAAAACATCACTGATGATGTATGCCAAAGTATCAAACCAATGTATTTCACAAAATGAGTAGAAGAGGAAATGATCAGTGGAACTGTCTGCATGGTATGAAGTAATATATAAAAAAGAAAATGGTTGTGGGGGTCGGGGGAATTATGAAAATTCACCTCAACAGTCTGAGAAATATCTCTGTTAATTTGACATCAGAATATGGAATCAAAATTCAAAAAATGAATCTCATTTTCTTTGTGGAGAAAATCCATTGCTGAATTTAGGAAAGTAGCCAAGAATTTAAAAACCTTTCTGCTAACTTGAATTCTCATCTAAATTAATTTAAATCTTGATGTGGGATTAATGAAACTCAAAAAAAAAAATAAAAAGAAGAAATTAAAACACTATTCAAAACAATTTAAGTGAAGGAAAAGAAAATATGATTTTTATAAGAATTAAAAATTTTCAACAAAAAGAAAATGAAAATCTTAACATTTTATCATTGTGTGATAGAGAAAAATTATCAAGGCTCAAAGTAAGAATTTATTTTGCAAATATTTTAATAAGATAGTTTTCAAAAATCTTGTATAAATTGGTGTTTGTTGCTGGATTTTTGGGTAGTAGAATTTGCCAAGGAATAATTTTGAAGCCTGTAATTTATTTTTTATGTGTATACCTAAGAAGACACAATTTCAACCTTAAAACAATTTAATTTTACTGATGTCCTGTTAGAATTTTCATTTCGAATTAATTATCACTCATTATTATAAATTCATTTGTCTTTGATCTAAGCTGTTCAAAATTTTTTTCAATTTAAAATAATCCATTTTTAGTTGGTTATTTTGATCTTTTGCATAATTGTTATTTTTTAGTTGGAAGCAAGGAAGGAGAGATTAAAAAAGAAAGGAGATGGATAGAAAGAGAGAATAATTGGATGAATAGAGTGCTTATTATAAAAGATAGGGCAATGATGAAAAGGAAAAAGAAAAAAGGGACAAAGAAATAAAGGAAAATAAAAGAAGCAATTAAAAAATACTTTTCAAAGAGAGAAGATGAAATAAGAAGGGTAAAAGAAAAACAAAAAGAGAAAGATGTAGATTTTTAACATGAAAAAGTGAAATAGACAGAAAAAGACAATGTAAATACAGAAGAAAGAATAAGATGAATAAGGAGAGAGTGCAACAGAAAGAAAAGGTAAAGAGTATTAGAGTAAGAGAGAAAAATATGATAGAGGAGAAGAAAGAAGGAAATAAAAGTGTAAGAGAGAAAAAGAAAAGCGAAAGTATAGAAAATCCAGAATCACTGAAAGAGAGTGATGAGGAGGAAAGAAGCTTGAAAAACAACTATAATTTTGGCAAAATTTGAATTTCATCAATTGTTAGAGAAAGAAAATGATTGTGTGATTTTGAAAGAAAGAAAAGAGTATATAGGAATAATAGTGAAAAAGAGAAACAAAACAAAAAGAAAGAAAAAATGAAAAATTCAAAAGTAATAAATAGAAATAGAAGATAAAAAGAACAAAGAAAAAGAGATTAAAAAAGAAAAAGTAAGAAATGAAAGAAAGAGTACAAAAGAAAGTCATGAAAAGAAGAGAAAGAAAAGAAATAAGAAAGGAAAAGAGAAAGGTAATAAAATGTGGAAGAAGATAAAGATTGAAAAAAGAATGGGACACGACAAAAACAGTAAGATAAAAAAAGCGAAAGAAAAATATAGAAACATTTGAAGGAAAAGTAAAGCAATAAAAGAAGAATGATTTTTGAGGTAAAAATTTGTATTGGAATATTTTAAATAAAAGTTATCATTGATCTCTTTATTTGAGCAATTTTTCAATTATGAAATTTTGAAATATAGGAGGCACTTGGATATAATGTTTTGTCATTTTCTTTTTTAGATGAAGTCATATTTTACTTCTTTTTATTTGTTTCATTTTTCCAGCCTGATTCTCTCTCATTTTCTTAAATGTAATTATCTTTCATACAAAACAGCTTTTTTCTACACAACACACGCATACATATATACATATTAAATAAATTGTATACTCACCTTTCACTATATAGTCACACTCTCTCTCACATAGATAAACATACATGCAAATATATTCAAGTCTACATTCATATATATATATATATATATATATATATATATATATATATATATACATATGCATGTATATGCATGTATGCATGTCTGTGTGTGTATCCAAAAGACAAGCATATATCATTTTAAGTTAAAACTTATAACAGTTAGTTAAGTGCCACACGTGATACACACTTGGGTGATCATGTAACTTTTGATACATGACCAACGAGGCAGATTTTTTCCTGCATTAGGTTGCCATTTCTTTCTGCCCTAGACTGGTTGCCAACCAAAGCTAAAGAACCCAGTCTGTCCTGCTATTCAACCCATATCACACACACACACACACACACACATATATATATATATTAGACTTTTCTATTGTCAATGATTTCTTTTGAAATCACTTATTAACTTAATTCTTATATTTATTACTATTTTGTATGGTTATTATTATTATTATTATTATTAAAAAAAGGAAATGTTATATTATATATATGAGAAAAGTGTGATTTACAAAGGGAAAAGAAAAAGAGAAGACAGTGTTTAACAATGTTTAGCAATATATTGCTGGTAATAATATTTTTTTTAATAAATGGTAATATTTTTTTAAAAAATGTATTGCTGGTATTTTTACTATTTTACTATAATTTTCACATTTTCATAGTGTTTTAACCCCAGTGTGGAGGTTAGATATTTGGCCATAGCTGGGCCCTAAACAGGAGCTACCATCCCACATAAATCCAGGATAAATGATTGAGGTTTTCCCAGTCATTTTGTAAAATGTTGGCTTTCTCCAGTGTGTTCTATTACAAAATCTTTATGCACACCTGAGATTCCCAACTGGTCACCAATTTAGATACTGACCAGGCACTTGACATAGCTTTAATTTGGTGATTGGATGAGGACCAGTGTTTCAGCATAATATGCCTATATATATATATATATATATATATATATATATATATATATATATATATATATATATAATTAATATTGTTTAATAATTAGTATGGATAATTCCAAGGAAGATATACATTGAACATTTCACCCGATACCAACCAGCAATAATTCAAGCCCCCAAAGGCCGGTTATGTGACCAGGAGGCATATAGACTAGTCCTATGACTCAATTATTACTCCTCATCAAGTAGTCATTACATGTATAAAAGACACTAGTTCAAAGAATCCTTCAATGAATCAGAATCTAATCTCTCCACAATGGGCAAGATGAAAAGAATTGTCTAAGGACATCCAGGAGAAAATTGTGTACCTGCATAAAACTGGAATGGGCTACAAGATGATTGGTAAGCAGCTAAGGTGAGAAGGAGTCAACTGTTGGTGTGATAATAATAAGAAAATGGAAGAAACACCAATTGACTATCAGTCTCCCTTGGTCTGGAGTTCCACGCAAGATCTCCCAATGTGGAGTGAACCTGATGATGAGAAAGGTGAGGAAACAACCTAGAACTACATTACAAGAGCTTGTTGATGATCTCAAGGCAGCTGGGGCCACAGTCACCAATATGACCATTAGTAATACACTACATCATAGTGGACTGAAATCATCTAGTGCCTGCAAGGTCCTCCTACTGAAGAAGGCAAATGTACAGGCTTGTCAGAAGTTTGCAAATGAGCACCAGGATGTTCAGAGGATGATTGGGAGAAAGTGCTGTGGTCAGATGAGACTAAAATTGAGCTTTTTGGCATCAGCTTGACTTGCCATGTTTGGAGGAAAAAAATGCTGACTTGGACCCCAAGAACACTATCCCAACCATTAAGCATGGTGGTGGAAACATTAGGCTTTGGGGCTGTTTCTCTGGATAACAGGATGACTACACCAGGTTGAGGGAAATATGTATAGGGCCAAGTACAGGGAAATCTTGAGTGAAAACCTCCTTGCTTCAGCCAGGACACTAAAGATGGGTTGTAGATGGGTGTTCCAGCTTGACAATGACCGCAAGCTTATAGCTAAGGCAACACAGGAGTGGCTCAAGAAGAAGCACATTAAGGTAATGGAGTGGCCTAGTCAGTCTCTGGACATTAATCCTTTAGAAGTTCTGTGGAGGGAGCTGAAGCTTTGAGTTACCCAACGACACCCTACAAAACATAGATTTGAAGAGGATCTGCAAAGAGGAGTGGGCCAAAATCCCACCTGGGATCTGTAAAAACTTGGTAACCAGGAAACATCTGGCTGCTGTGCTTGCCAACAAGGGTTTCTTCACCAAATTCTGAGTTATGTTTTGCTATAGAGTGAAATACTTATCTTTTCAATAAAAAA